ATATTTTATATTTTATATTTCATATTTTATATTTTATATTTTACATTTTATATTTTGTATTTTATATTTTACATTTACATTTTCTGTTCCTTATATGGAAGTCCGTCTGTAGCTGACAATAATATTTATTGAATTGATTTAAAAATGCCAAAATTTAGCTGTCCATTCTGTTGTCACGCCCACGCCCACGGCCACGCCCAGTGGCAGCTGCTGTTTGACCCTATCATTATTTCAGCGCAAATGTTGTGGCATTGCGCATACGACGCGTTGGCAGCCGAATAAAAATTGTCGCTTATACATACGCAATTTTTGGACGCTGGTCAACTAAGCAGCGGGTGCTAAATGTTAAATGTTAAATGTTAATTTCCCCACAGCAATGACTGTGCACCAGCAACAGCAACAACAGCAGCTAGCATAACAACAGAGAAATTTTTAGTTTCATTTCGTGCGGCGAAAAATGAACATGCAAATGGCCTTTTTATTATGGACATTATTGCGTCCGAAAAATGTGCTATTGAATGCATTAGTTGTGTGTGCGTGTGTGTGTGTGTGTGTGATTGGCAATCAAGTCCCGCTGCGGTTTTGTTCGCCATTCATATGCAAAAATTTCTCATATATATTTTTAGCCCGCAACAAAAAATCAATTTGTAAATGTTTTTAGTGGCATTGCAACTTTGACATTTCGCTCACAGCTGTCATTGCTGTTGCTGTTGCTGTTGTTGTTGTTGCGTTTACATTTTTTCCCTTCTTTTTTTTTTTTGTTGTTGTTGCATCTGTCTGCTGGCCACTGGCAACTGACCCCATTGGCAGCGCTGTCCGTTTGTAATTAGCGATTGCCCACTCAGAGCTGCCTCTTTGTACTCTGCTGTCTGCTGGCGCTACTCCTCCTCCTCCTCCTGCTCCTGCTACTGCTGCCACTGCTGCTGCTGGTGCTATTTGGGGAGTTTTTGACCTCAATTGCTTTGTCACCATTTCAATTTGCAATTTCAGCCATTAACTAGTTACACTCAATGCAATTAAACTTGCACTTTTGCAGCAGCAGCAGCAGCGGCAGCAGCAGCAGGAGCAGCAGCAGCGGCAGCAGCAGCAGGAGCAGCAGCAGCAGCTGAGCTACTCATGCGAATGGGGCAAGGTAGTGCGCGCCGTGTTGCAAGTAGTTCACGCGAAACTTGGCCAGCTCGCAATTTGCAGCTCGCTCGATTTGTGCTCGGTCTGTCCCCAGCCAGCAGCAGTCGCAGTCGCAGTTCCCATTTGGCTGCCACGCCCACCTGCTCCACAGAACGCTGCCTCAGTCCTTCATTCAGGACATGCTGTTTCTGTCATGTTGTCAGCGGTCTGTGCAACCGCAATGTGTTGCTGTTGTTGTTGCTGTTGCTGTTGTTGTTGTTGTTGTGGCATAGAGTGAAAGTGTGGGGCACTCAACATAGCGACACCAAATGCCGAACATCCCGTTGCCCGGTGCGTTCCATTGGAATAATTTGAAAATGGGAATAATAAAAAAACGAAGAGGAGCAAGAAGCAACAGCAAAGAGAGAGTGAGAGCGAGAGGCGAACAGTGTAAAAATTGTATCTTCTCATTGAGTTAATTGCAAATTGGATGAAATTGTAATTTTACACTTCATTTCATTCAATTCATGGCTGATTGACAATTTAGTTTTTCATTAAGGTGGCCCCAGCGACGGGCGACAACGTTAACTGGATCATCGATACGTGTGGCAGACGGCATGTGGCATGTGGCAAGCGGAACGTAGCAGAGCAACTGGCAAACTTGGAGCAATTCATATTTTGATATGCATTTTCATATATGGGCTGGTAATTGTAATTGTAATAGCCATACAGTCGAGTCTTGATAAATCGAAAATCGCGATAAATCGAAAGCAATTCTATGCCCTTGAAAAAAGTTGTTATCGATAATTCTCGATAATTTGAGTTTTTAAGTAAATCGAATGATGAATTCATTATCTGCCTATCCAATTAAAACTGTATCGAGTCCTTCGACAGATATGCAACTGTCTTTACATAAAGAACTCAAACTTCTCACGTTTGATGAGCTGAGGGAAGGCACAGAGGAAATGCAGCGAGGTATTATCGAAATACTGAAGCCTACTCGCAGCAGTATTACTACCGGTTCGACCTTTAAGGCGAGTGAAGCGACAAAGATTTGGCCAAGATGCATGGACGGCAGTAAGATGACCTCCATTTTGATTCCTCTTATTTTCGATTAGTGTTACTACCAATACTACTACTACTTCTGCTACTATTACTACTACTAGTTCTACGACTATTACTACTACTACTACTACTAGTTCTACTACTATTACTACTACTACTTCTGCTACTATTACTACTACTAGTTCTACGACTATTACTACTACTACTACTACTAGTTCTACTACTATTACTACTACTACTACTACTACTTCTACTACTATTACTACTACTGCTACTACCAGTTTTACTACTTCTACTACTATTACTACTACTGCTACTACCAGTTTTACTACTACTAGTTCTACGACTATTACTACTACTACTACTACTAGTTCTACAACTATTACTACTACTACTTCTACTACTATTACTACTACTACTACTACTAGTTCAACTACTATTACTACTAATGCCATGCCGTAACTCCCATCGATTTCATATGTATTTTCACGTTGAGCCAAATCTCGCTCAGTGAAATATTATACAGCATAAATGGTTAATATTAAATCTTTAGCTGCATTTGGACAGCGGGCAGCGGGCAGCGGGCAGCGCAGCTTGTTTAGTGAATGCATGGACGGCTTTTATGTTGAAGTGGCTCGTGTCCTGACGCAGGACACATGAATTATTGACGGGCGTGCAGCAACCGCGGAAAGTTTTGCGAGTGTGCATGGCAAATGTTGCGCATACGCAGCGTTGTAATGCACTTGCTTTACGGCGTATGCACAAACAGGAGTCATGAAGCAAGCTTAAAGTTATGAATTCTTAAAATATGTGATTTATTTGTAGCGAAACTTTCATGCACACACCCACACACACACACACCCCCACATACACACACACACGTGAACTAACTGAAGCTGAAACAATTTTTTTTTGCTTGTTTTTCGTAGCTGCATCTATTTTTTATGGCGCAAAGTTTGCGTTGTCACGTGACTGGCGTGGAAAATGGGGAGTATTTATGTAATAAAAAAAATAGAGAGGGAAAGAGAGAGAGAGAGTAGAGTAAAAAAAGAGATGGCATAAGTAGCTGAGCCTGCGACCAGGTAGCTGCCGTGTCCTCGTGGAGAGACGTGTGTCGAAACGCGCCGGAAATGCCATTTACAGCAGACGTACTTCCGTTGCTAAAAAGAAAGAAGCTCTTCCTCTTGCCGGTGATGGGGGCGGGCTCCATATATAGCGAGAGCGAACTGTAGCATATGCACTGAGACTAGAGACTAGTCGCTTTTGTTTTAATATTCATATTTTAGCATCAGAAATTATTCGTTGAAATTAAGTTGCTTTATGCACGCACAGCAGCGTGTTAGAGCGAGAGAGAGGGAGGGAGAGGGAGTCCTGGCAGCGCAAGGAAGTGAGCTTAAAAGCGACTCGGACGAAAATGCTTTGAATTTAAAATCTGCAATTTTCTGTTGATTGCCGCAACCGAGCCAGCCCGAGTGGGCGGGGCAGCAGGGCCGAGCAAACGTGCAGTTATAGTGTAACAAACAAGCGCTGTGTTAGCCTGCGTGCCAGCCAGCGGTTGGCAGCGGGCGCAACACCAACATCAGCAGCATCAGCAGGAGCAGCAGGAGTAGTAACAGCAGCAGCAGCATCATCACAACTTTTGCGTAAAATTCCAGTCATGTGTCCCTAACAAATCCCTGCATTATTCATGAAATGATAAGATGACTTTGTGCTGGCTTCGTAGCCGTCAACGCTGCCGCCGCTGCCGTTGCCGTCGCCGCTGCTGCTGCCGCTGCTGGTTTATTTTTTTCACAGTATCTTTTGCTGTTCTCGTTATAATTTCACATGCAGCTGCTGCTGCTGCCGTTTCAAGGGCCACATTTAAGTGGCAACTATCGTTGCCTTAACAACCCACACAGCAGACAAGCATGCAGCTTGCATAAACGCAATTAAATGCAACTCAAATATAAATGCCGCAACTCAAAGGGCTGTCAACTTGTTGTCAAAAGTTGTTGGGTCATAAATATGGTAATGCCCATAAACAGGTAGCTCGTGGGAAAGCTGTTAGCTAATTGCCTATTAGTTAACTGCCAGCAAAAAACTTTGGCAGCAACAGCAGCCGCAACAGCCTCAATGGCTGTTAAGAGTCGGGCAGAACGAGCCACTGTTAAGTGCAGCTGCTGTGCTGTTAAGAATACTAACAGTAGCAGCAGCTGCACTGCAACAGCTGCTGTTAATGTTAGGCGTTCGCTGCTTAACAGCACGGTCAAGCACACTTAACAGCGACAGCTGCGCTAACATTAAATACATGCAGCTTAACAGCAGAGCAGATGGCTGTTGACAACACAACTTTAGGCTGCCCACTTAACAGCACCGCTTAGCACTATTAGCAGCCAGCTGCTGTTAACAGCTTAACAGCCAGCCACAAAACTACAAATGCGCTGATGCGCTCCCTCTCTCAATCTCTCACACTCTCTTATCCTGCTGTAATGGGCCGTCGTGTAAACGAGATGCTGAGAGAGGATGCCGCTACAGCATTACAATTACACGAGCAGGACGCGGGCGTCGCTGTCGCAGCATCCACGACAGCCACGAGCGACGCTGACGAAGCAGCGGCCGATGAGCAGACGTGTGCCTCGCGCTGCTGGCGCTGCCGCAGCTTCAGTCAGTTCGTAAACTCGAAGCCGCGCGGAGATGCTTTGGACGATGTTACGCGCCGCCTAAGACAAAAACCAAAAGAAAAAAAAAACAGCCAAAACAAAAAAAAAGCAAACAACAACAAAAATCGAACGTTCAGAGTGACAACAAAAACAAAAACTAAATAAAATCTAAAGAAAATTCAAAATCAAAATACACCAAATAAAATATACTTTACAGTTAAACAAAGTGTTTATTAATATTGAATGCAAACAAATTTTGGAAACTTTGCGAAATGAAGTTGAATAAAGCCTGAAACCGTTATGAAGTCGCCGGACAAACTGACTAATTGAGCGCGGAACTTCCGTTTCCGTTGTGTGAGCTCACAACTGTAAGAGCAAGCGCTTAGCCAGATTGGCAGGCGGTGTGAAGGCGGGCGGGGGCGTGGCTGGCATATTCAAATATTAAACACACGAATTCGCTTGAATTTGGCATTTAAATTATTTAAGTTGACAAAACGCAAACACACACACACACACACAGACAGAGCGACAGGCCACGCCCAGCTAGCGCCCTTGTTTCCTGTTTTGATGTGCTCGTTACTTGGGCTTGCCCCTCTGCCTCCTTCAATTTGCCTTGCCTCGATTGCCCATGCCCCCTTTCAGCTGTCTCGCTCCTCAATTACTTATGTTACTTCTCTTGCTCCTTCTGCTTCTTCTGCTTCTTCTTCTTCTCTTTTTTATTTATTTTTGTTGTGTGTGTGTGTGTGTTTTCAAATGTTTGTTATTTATTTATAACGACACAGCCAAATGCCGAGCACATCCTTTGAACTTTTCTGCATGAGTTTGCAATTGTGTTGATGTCACATACATATCGAGGTGTATAGTTGTGTGTGTGTGAGTGTTTTTATTTCTCTTTAGCTACAGCTTCAGCTACAGCTACTGTTTCGCCTTTGACGCTGCATTCAATTAATTTCATTTGCTGCTGCCCTCGTCTCCCCTCTCTCTCTCTCTCTATCTATCTATCTGTCTGTCTGCCTGTCTCACTGGCTCCATTATCATTTAACTTGGCTTGCAGCTACAGCATTTCCATTTGGCCTTTGTGCCGCATCGATTGCTATTGAAATATTAAACAATTCACTCGACGAGCAGCTACAAAATAATATAATAAATAACTAACGCTGACAAAGTCACAACGATTTCTATACAAACACACACACACACACACGCACATGTATGAATAAATAAAAATATATATTTTCATCTGTGCAGCATAAAGTAACAACAACAACAACAACAACTCCCGTGCAACGCTATATCAATTAAGTTTTTCAAACAATTTTCCGAGGCAACAAAAACAAAAAAAAAATAAAAATAAAAATACAAAAAAATGGATTACGCCTCGCTGCTGTTTCTCTTCAGCTGCACATTAATTGGTAAGTATATGATGGCAGCCACTGTTGTATGTACATATATTTCCTTTCTTTCGGTTTTCAGTTTTCAGTTTTCGTTTTTCGCTCTCCCATTTGCCCATGGCCTGGCTGGCGTGCGTATTAGCGGCGCCGGCCACGTGGCGTATGCGTAATGTGCATTGGCTGCATTTCATTGCGGCTATCGCAATCGCAATCCGCTTAATATTTATTATTTGTTGTTGTTGCTCTTCTCGCATTGTACGCCATTTGCCTCATGTTTTTTTTCCCTTTTTTTTTTTGTTTGCTTCGCCCTCAGCTGCACCGCAAATCAATATTGACAAAGTTTTACGCCCTCGGCGTTCGGCTCAGCAGCTGCCGCTTCTAGCCGCTTGTGTCCGCTTCTGGCCGTCAGCCTTTGTGCCTGGCTGCTCTTTTAATGACTTTCGCCATAATTCCAACTGCTGCGAGTGCAATTCCAGTGCACTGCAGTTGCACTGCATTTGCCGTTCATTCAATTTCACTCGCAGTTGCCTTTGCTGCTGACGCTGCCTTTTGGCACTTGGTAATTTGTGCTGCCGCAACTTTTGCTTTGCTGCCTCTGCCGCTGCTGCCTCTGCCTCTGCCACTGCTGCTGCACAGCTTGAGTGCAGTTTAAAGTTAAATTGTATTTCGGAAATGTTCGCAATTAGGCAGCCTGCCAAAGGCATCGCCTCCATCGCCTACTGGCACATAAATTGCCAATGGCAATGGGGCAATTAATTTGCAGCGCATTAAATGAGCTGCCATTTGCCCAGTGGCAAACCAACAACTCCATTTGCCATCCGCCACAGCGACTCCTGCATCTAGTTGGCAGAGCGAGCATGCACTTCTTCGAGAGAAAACAAGAGAAAAGTTCTTTCATTTTCAAGTCTTCAAAGAGATAAACATCTGCCCTGCGTACATATTCTCCTGCTAGGAATAATAATGACTTATATTAAGTGGCATCATCATTTCTCGAAGTGACATGCATTAAACTTCCATTTCATTATCATTGTCATCATCAGCATCATTGTGTTTTATTATTATAGTATCATGCATTACTGAGAGTGATTATATTGCAATGAAATATTTAAATATAATAAAATTATAATATTAATTTAAGATAATATTTAATAATAATGAAAATAGAAAGCAAAATATTCATGGCACTGATAATGAATCAATATCATGATTTATTTTCTTAATTTTCACTGTCATCATTATTGACATAATCCGATTTTATAACTAGTATAACTTTAGTTTATCTTTCAGATTTGCTCTATCAGTCTCTCTTTAATTCTTATAATATTCATTTACATTCTTTTCTTTTCTAATTTTTATCCTTATTCCTATGATCATTCCAATTAGCATTATCATACATATTTTCTCATTCTTATTAATATTATTGTACTTTTTGAAACCCATACTCCTTTGTAATCCTTCTCATTCTTATTCTTATAATCATTATTTAGATTACCATTATTATTATCGTTTGCATTATTACATTATTGCTACAGAATTATATCTCATTTTCATTATTCCTAAGACTATCATTATCACTTTAATTATCGAATAATGCTCTTTCTTATTGAACTCATTCGTATTATTATTGTCATTCTCTTGCTCATTCTCTATTCTGCGCATTATCATTATCATCATGATTCTCAGTGAAGACATCTCATTATCATTAGCATTAGCATTAGCCCATTATCAGCAGCCGATTATCATTGGCTTTTCAATACGATAAGCAGCATCATTAGCACTATCGTTATCATGGCCCACAGCATGATTATTGGCATTACCTCGTTATCATTAACTTATATTCATCAGCTCAGAATGATTGCCTATTCAATGATAATATGCTAATGCATTAGCTAATTTCTCATTTCTCATTATCATTATCATTAAATTATCTATGAGATCAGAAACCACTTCGTATTTTAACACATTGACAATGTGATTTTCTTTTTTTTTCAACCTCTTTCTGAGTCAATTGTGTCAACACGTTAACAAACACAGCCAAGATTTCCTTCGGCAAATACACCTTTAACTCAGGCCAGACTTAGCCACATTTTGCTTAGAGCCAGGCTGCAGCTCTCCCCCCTCAATCTTTATTAAGTAAACTACAAGCTTTTGGCAGAGCATAAGAAAACTTTTGGGGCTAACCAAGTGCTGGTGACATATATTTCACTTGCAATCCCCCGAACACATTTGGGGCCATTCATTCAAGCGCTCGACAAAGGAAACACATTGCCAGGGATACCATTCAGGAATTCATTGCACAAACACACACACAAAAACATGCACACACACACACACACACACACACACACACGTACACAATTGACATAGAAAAGTTTTGTGCTCGTTTCGATGTATTTTTTAATAATTTACGCTTATTTTACAAAGCTTTTGCGCGTGTTTCGGTCACTTTTAGCTCGGCTAATGGAATTAAATATTGTCCCTTCCATTTCAATTTGCAGCAGCTCTCACTCTCCCTCTCTCTCTCTTTCTGTTAGTCTCTATGTTATCTGCTGTAACATAAAATGTTGTGGAAGTATGCTATATTATCTCTTGATTTTATTATATATAGTAAAGCATTATTTTTGCTGCATACAAATCAGGCCGCTTAGCAGCCTCAGCTCAGCTGAAACGCCCATAAAAATAACCACAGACATATCTATTTTACATATATATAGAAGGAGAGAGAGAGAGAGAGGGAGAGATGTATATACACATATATAGAAATAGATATTTGCATAAACGTCTCGAGCATCTTTAAATGAATTTATTACCAAACTTTTGCCAGCGCGTCCTTTGGCAAATTCATATGTAAATTTATCTAGCCACACACAGAATTTCTCTCCATCTCTCTCTCTCTCTCTCTCTCTCTCTCACTCTCACTCTGTGGTTGTATGTGTGTAAGTAAGTGTGCTTGCCAGCATCAAATAAAAAGTGTGGCTTAATTAGCAATGTATTTGCATATGCCATGTGAATCGGAACAAGTTTTTGTCTTTGACCAACACTTAAAATGTACATAAATAATTAACAGTGTTGGGAATAGTGTTGCAAATATTTGCAAATATCTAGCACGACGAATTAATGGATTCAGTTTCATTTATTAAAAGCCATGCGGCAAGGTAAACCAAGACCAGAGATAGAGAGAGAGAGAGAGGGAGAGGGAGGGGGACAATCGGGCTGTCAGTTTGCGTTACGTATTTCTTATCAATTTTTTGGCTAGCCAACAGAGCCAACGTATGTATGTGGCATGCGCTTATCGCTGGTTGCCCCTGCCGCAGCTGCAGCGCCACAAAACCGAGACCTAAACATATGCCTGGCCAGCAGCAGCAGCAGCAACAACAACAACAACAACAACAACTATTTTGCATATGCATTTCATGAAATTTGAAATTTATTCGATGCGAGTTACCTGACCAAGAGCTGCTGCTGCAGACCCAAACCCTTGCAGCAGTGCCTGTCAAACTGCAGTTACTAATATATTCCATTCTCTCCCTCTCCCTCTCTCTCCCTCTCTCTCTCTCGTTGCAGATATGCAGGGCATCTCGGCGCTGTTTGTAACGGACATCAGCGTGCCGGAGATTGTGGACTTTCGGGACAATGTGACGCTCTCCTGCAGCTACGACATGAGCGGGCACACCCTGAACTCGGTCAAGTGGTACAAGGATCGGCTGGAGTTCTTCAGGTGAGCAAGGATGTGACAATTGCGATTGCGGCAGCTGTGTGAGCTTTATGAATTCGCCACAGATATTCGCCGCTAATGCGTCCGGTCTACATGACATTTCCCGTGGCCGGCATCCAGGTGCTCGACGGCAAGTACTTCTGCAACGAGTCCACCTGCCGTGTGGATCTCAGCCTGATGGGCGCCAAGTCGACGGGCAGCTACATGTGCGAGGTGAGCGGCGATGCGCCGCACTTCAAGCTCGCCGCCAAGGAGGACAACATGACGGTCGCAGGTGAGCAGCGCTGCCTGGCCACATCTGGCCAATCAGCCAATCAGCCAATCAGCCATGAGCCATAAGGCACTTAACGCATTTCGGGGCTAATTTGCTCCGCTCATTTGTCGCAGCCCTGCCGCAAAGTGACCCACTCATCGAGGGCTTCAACTCGATGTATCGCTTGGAGGAGTTCCTCAGCGCCACCTGCTCCTCGGACTACTCCAGTGTGCCCACGAAGCTCACCTGGTATATCAACGGCGAGCAGGTGAGACCTTACCGCCCATCCGCCCATCCGCCCGTCCGCCCCACCAACTCTGACACTCTCCTCCCATTTTTGCTTTCTCTTCGGCATGCAGCCCATGCTGGGGGAGCTGCAGCCCTTCATTGATACGACCATACCCGCCCACGACTACATACTGCGCCGGCAGCGCCTGCAGGTGCACTTCTACCTGCAGGGACACCGCTTCTACCAGGTCAGCAAGATACTCGAGCTCAAGTGTGTGGCCGAAATCGAAAACTATCCGGAGCTGCGGCGCGAGACGACGCTCAGTGCATCGCTCTCGCATTCCGATAATCTCAACAACCAGATGCTGAGACATCCAGGAGCGTGTGAGTATAGATAAATATATCTATATAATATATATATACTCTAGAGTGTGTTTATTTCTGTTTTTGAGTCTGTCCGAGTCTAGCCAAGATTCAGACAGCTATCTTTATGGCTGCCATCACAATCAATTACGTATCCATTCGACTGTCATAACTGTAATGAGTTCAAAAGCTCTAAGAGCATATGCTGTACTCTGTTTACACAGTAAACGTGGGTAGATTGCCTAGCTGTAATCTGAGTCTGCAGAGTGAAGTCTTGAGTAAAGGCTGCAGCTTACGCGTGTCAGACTTATATCTGATGTATTCACGCCCAGTTGCAGGCGATAAATTTTATTAACTGCAAATCAATAGCTGTGTGAACAGAGTACAATCTACATTTTGAGCACTTATCTTCCGTATATACATATAGATAATTGATGTTCATAATTTAAAAGGAACTATATTTGGATTTAGCAACTTTCTTATTTATTTATACTTTTTTTTTTTAATTTATTAAATAATTTGTTTTTTGTTTATTTTTTTACATTTTTGTATTTACATTTTTACGTATTTGTGTTCTTTCTTTTAATTTATGTCTTTATAAGTTATTTAATTTATTTATTTATTTAATAATTTATTAATTTACTTAAATATTTTATATATTTATAATTTATTTTATTATTTTATTAATTGTTTTAAATATTTTATATATAAATATTTTTCATGTAATTATATTTTTATAATCTATTTATTTGTTCTTTTTTTTTAAATTAATTTATTTACCTGTTTGATTTTTTTAACTATTTAACTTTTTTTATTTAAATTATTTTTTTTTTTTCATTTATTTATTTATATATTTATTTATTTTTCATTTATATATATATTTTTTTTTACTTATTTATTAATCATTGGAGCTATATATATTATACTCATCTACTATATTTATATGTGCACACAGAAACTATTTTCACAACTGAATATACCCGTTTTCGCCAAATACAAATATATGATTTTTCAACACTATATATACCGTCTTAAACTATGAACAGCAATTTCTATATTTCGCAAAAACGTATCTCACTTTTTATTCCGTTACAAAGTATACAAGATATATAGAAGCTAAGTTTATTATTTGTTTTATTAGATGATAGATATGGATCGTATATAATATTTAATTCATAAGTATATCACCAATCACTTACTCTAAAGTATAAATAGCTTCACATATAACAGTATTACTTAATATTAAACAAACCTCCCATTGCATAACTCGCATAATTAATTCTTCATCTTACATCTAAGCTGAAAGTTGTCTCATCATGTCTAAATGTGCCTTACTTCACTCCCTATATCAGTCTGCTACAATTTCTCTGCCTTTATTTACCACTCTGACACAGCCTCAGCTGCAGCTGACTGTAGATGCTGTCCCTGGCCGAGGACCAGCTGCCTGATTTGCAGCCTGCTTGTGATAATTCTGCTTACGCAATGCGCTCAACGTCCATCATGAGCGCTCACATCGGCAACGGAATCGCCTCGCTGCGAGACGGCGATGGACAGTGTGGCAAATATATCAGCAAATTAGTTAGTTAGTTAGTAGAGCAGGCTGCCAGAGCGAGACAGCAACATACTGGCGTCGAGTCTCATAGACAAAGAGTTTCGGGTAAAGGGCAAATCATGTTGAAAGATCCTGGCTCCGAGTCGGTCGCTTTGTACATATTTAGGGCGGAAGGCAGTGGCAAGAGTTATATAATATAAATACACTAAAAACATAAATCTATATATGTATACAAGAAATATATATATAAAACATATATTAAGTGTAAATTAGAATAAAAATCGGAAGAGCAAATGAAGCCATTTAATGCGTTGTTTAGTTGACAAAGGCAACTCAACTGAATTTGATTAAATAATTTTAAATTTATTTATATTGATTATAGCTCATTTCATATAAAAATCTTTAAAAATGATAAATTTTTAGTGATATGTTTAAGATTTATATAACTTAATTTAGTTAAAAATATAATTTGTTTTTATTATATTAAGCCTAGTTAAAGTGCTTCCAAAGCACATTAAAGCTTTTTTAATTTTTAAATTTGCATTGCATACAATAAAATTAACTTTTTAATTATTCATATATTATTTTTTTCAATTATATTTTAGTTTATTTTAACAGCTAAAAGTCCTTACAAGCTTATTAAAGCTTTTTTGTTATACAATTATTGTTATTTATTTATTTTATTTTATTTTATTTTTCATTTAAAACCATATTTCTATTGAGAACTTTATTTTATTAATTAGTTTTGCATTTAAATTTGTGCGCTTCTTATTTTTATTTATATTTATAATATCATTATCTTTTCATAAAACTAGCTAAATCGCTTTGAAAGCTCATTAAAGCTTTTATTTAAAATATCAGCCATATCTTTATACACATAAATCTACCTAATTTAAAACTAATAACAGCTTTACAAGTTTATTTAAGCTCTTACAAAGCCCTTTGTTTTACTATATAAAAATGTTTTAAAATATTCAAGGTTAAACAATATTTTTGTATGATCAATTTAATTACTTTTTTAAAATATAACATACACTGTTACTTTAGGCATCGCTTCTCAGGGAAGCCAACTAATATTTCACTGCATGTCTTCGAAATCAATTACAAAGAAAAATCGAAAATCGATAAACCGAAAATGTATTTCAAATTAAACTGCACTCGATGGTAAGAACGGCATTAGCAAAAGTTGTTCAATTCGCTTGATAAGCTCCGAGTTGAACGAACACGAATTTTTAATGTACATGTAAACATTTTTCAAATCTAATTATAATTAAAGTACACACACACACTCACACCCGCACACCACAATTTTATGCACATGAAACACTTTTCAAACGAAAAAAAAAATGAGAAAAACAAGTTAAATGCAAATTTAAATTTAAGAGACAGCAAGAGCCAAACATGAAATGTTTTCTGTGGATTATGCAAATGTTGTAAAAATCATTATGAACATAGCGGTAAATGTCTAGGTTAGGTTAACATTAATAAAAAGAGGAAAACAAACTGTAAATACAATTTTAAACATAACAAACAGAGGCGAACTAACTATAAATCAAGCTGCCACAGTCCCTACAAAAACGAAGCAGACAGCAAAAATAAACGAGTTTTTCCGAAATTAAAAATGCTCAAATCACACACAAAATGACAAAAAAAAAAAAAAAAATTACAAAAAATATATGCAGCAAACATTTTACATTAATGAGCTACTAGAAATAGAACTAAAAAACAAACATTATAAATGTACAAGAAAAAGAAGAAGAAGAACGAACTCACATTAATGAACATCAACTATTAAATCAAGTAAGAACATTGCAGTCGGGCATTACCGACTGCAGAATACTCATTCACGGTCCGAATGCTGCATTGCCACGCCCCTATGGGCGGAGGTATATATGCCATATTATAATGACTGTTGGCTATATTCCGAATTTCAAGCCTCTAGCGCTTCTGCCATCATCATTTCTATGCATTGCCACGCCCCTAATGGGCGGATCAGTTATGTTCGTGGGTATACTTGGGTATATATTCCAAATTTAAAGTCTCTCCACCTACAATAAAGATGAAATGGCATTCATATGGAAAGACGGACAGCAGGGCGGACAACCAATATACTCATTTTACTTTAGTGAATGAGTATAAACAATGAAATAAAAAAAAACTTGTAATAAGAGCCAAACTAATGTTAAGAGCAGCAAATAAAAATGATATAAAATTCGGATCTGATCAAAGCTAACAAAAAAAGAAAAACTAAATTAAATTAAATTAAATTAAATAAAGAATAACAACAAAAAAATGCTTTAAATACAAAAAAGGGAAATTGTAACTCGATATATGAAATGGAAAAGTCAAACGAAACACAATGTCGGGCACTTGTTAATCACTTTTTGTTATTCCGCATGCAATTTAATATGAACAAATTAACAATGCATCTCTCTATATATATAATATATATGTATATATATTATATTCCGTATATAATATGAGCATTACGGGCAACATGTATAAATTGATTCGCCTATTCATTCGCACTTCTTTTGGTTGTGAACTTGTTTTATTTTTCAAATAATGATTAAAAAAAAAGGAAATTAAAAAAAAATAACAAACAAACATAAAAAAGAAAACTCAATAAAAAATTAAAATGCATTCGCCAGTTGTTTTTCTATAAAATATTTCAGCTGAAGTCAATGATGAAGCAAAACAAACTCTTTTGCCATTTATTTAATATTGTTTTTGTATTTCATATAAAATGCAGACAAATAATATAAATAATTTATTTGCAAAAAAAAATGAGAGAAAATAAAAAGGTTTCGCACAACTGTGACAGTTATATTGCGCTAATCTGTGCAATTACACACAGATCGAGCTTAATTGCTGCTGCAGACAATCACGATGAATGCACTGCCAAATGGGCGTGGCACGGTTCATCTGAATCAGCTTTAAAAAAAAGGACTTGCAAATGAATCCATTCATCTCTTTCAGACTGTTCACAGTTCGTAGTATATTGACTGTTCACAGTGTAGATAATATGAACTTAAAGTGTATCAAATTCCAGTCTCTATATACATTTATCTAGCTTTCCAACCACTGTGCATTGATAAGGTAAGTGCTTGAGGTAGTATGAGCTGTTCGATATGACAACCGTGTGAGGTAAACAATGCTAGTGCCTTATATTCAAATATGTTTTCGGACTTCCAGTGACCCTATAAGTAGTCTAAATAAATTGGATGCCATTCGTTAACTATTGCTCAGCCAACTCTATGAGCATTAAAGATATGAGGTATTGCCGCCTCCTTTGGTAGTTTTATAGTGACAAGTCTGTGCTTTTATAAGATAGAACAAAGAGGTGTGCCAATTTATGGGATGTTAGATCGTAAACTCTTGTAAGTCAAAGATTCAAATAGTCGTAGCAATAATATTTCTCTACTTTACCCACTCTTATTATTTACACTTTCATACTTCTATCACCCTATCTTTTTAAGCTCTTCTCTCAAATTCTTCATTTCCATGTCTCAATCAATATCTGTCTGTATCTCGATAAGTATCTCTACCTCACTCTCTCTGTTTCCCTTGCTTTCTCATTGTCTCTCTCGCTCTCTCCTTACCTCTCTCTCCCTGTCTACCTATCTCTATCTCTACCTCTTCATCTCTTTGTCGTTCTTTAGCTGATCTTGATCTACATGCCTCCATCTCGCCCTATCTCACTCTCTGCCTCTGCCTAATTTTCTCTTCTTCTCTCACTACCCCTCTTTTCCTCTCGCAATACCTTTTGCTCTCTCCATCTCACTCTCATCTATATGGGTCATTCTTTCTCAGAAATTTCTTGTTTTCTTGTAATTTGTTAACCTTCAACACTTTCTTAAATACGTAAATTATGAACACTTCCTACTAGGCGCATTCGCATGAATTTCATTAGTTGAATATCTGTTTAATTTTCGTTTTCTTTGTCCTTCCACAGCCGAAAGTCGTTTGCCCAGCTAAGCTGTATGCATTTGCATACCTTGCTCATGTCCTGAGAGAGAGAAAGAGAGAGAGAGAGAGAGAGAGAGGGAGAGAGCGAGAGCTAGAGACAGATGTTTTGCCTGATGAAATGTACTTGCCTAATTTAAAATAATAACTTGTTTAAGTACGTAAATTTGCACAATTAATTATGCTAATAAGGGCTGGGCACGAGCCGCCGCTGAACCGCCAGAACGGGGCCAAAAAGGCAGTGGGCAAAAAGGCTTAAACAATAAAAAGGGTTAAATAATTAATTTCAATGCTGTTGCAATTAGTTTCCACTAAATTTTTCATGAGCTTTGTCCAGCGCGCTGACGACGCCAAAGCCAAACCTAGGCCAATCCATGATGCAAGGCCAGAAAAGACACCGAAAAGAAACCGAAAACCGAAACAGTAAAAAAGAGGCGAAAAACAACAAAAAAAAATTTGAAGACGAACAAAGGCCACTGCTGATGGCCACTTAATGAGCCACGGCCTGGACAGCTAATCAAATTAGCTGCCCGAGGACTTTTGATCTAAGACAAAGAGAGTGAGAGAGAGAGACAGAGTATATATGTGTGTGTGTGCGTGAATTTGGGCAACTTTTGCCAATGACGCATCATTTTGGCCAAGTGTCATATGGTGTGCTCGTAATTTATGTGATTTTAATTAGCAGGATGTCGTCCTGAAAGCCAAACCAGCCCAGCCCAGGCCTTGCCGTGCCGTGCCGTGCCAGGACACCCAACCACTTGTGACGCATAGCTGTCACATTCATGTTGTTCTGCAAGTAATTGAAATTAATTTTGCATTATTATAATTTATTTTCTCGCTCTCTTATATACATATATAAGTGTATGTGTATGTGTATGTGTGTGTGTGTGTGTGTGTGTGTTTTTGCCTGCAATTTGTCATGGAATTTTAAACATTTTCAATTAAGTGCCGCCCGGCTGGTGCACAGCAGCTTGAGCTGAACTGAGCTGAACTGAGTCGCCTCTAAGTTGGCCAAAAAAATGCGGCCGAAAATAAAGTGAAGTGAATTTTTCGCGCTTTGGCATTTGTCAAAGTTTTCGCAGTGATGCTCCTCAAGTGTCCTTTCTACAAAGTTCTGCCGCTGCTGCTGCTGATGCTACTACTCCTGCTGCTGCTGCTGCTACTCCTGCTACTCCTACTACTCCTGCTGCTGTTGCAGCCATTTTCGCCTGTTTGCGTTTCATTAAAATCCATTAAAATGCTGCAAATCAAATTAAAAGTTTCCACTTCTTCTGCGCTTTTTCTTTCAATCCTGTCTGTCTGCCAGGCAGTCGGCATCATTGTCAGCGCAGCCTTCATCAACTGCTTCGGCTTTGGGGCTGGCGTCTCGGCAGCAAATTCGAAATGACAATTACAAATCTTTGGCTCGCACTTTGCTTGGTTTTTATTTTCAGT